AGGTAAATACCAGTATATATAAGCTACTTTTAAAGTAGCACACACATGTAATTACACGAAATAATGCATAGAAATGCAATATCTCAATGAATTCTGCACAATCCCCATATTAATATTGCGCTAAGTAAAACTTCCCCAGCTATATAATAATTTAAAGGTTGCCATTATGTATTTATATGACTTCATTAAAAAGAACTACAGAAATGTATTGTACAGAAATGCAGTGATTTTCATAGGTACAGTGTGTTGCGTTTTACTGCAAGGGAAGATGGTCAGCTGAATTTCACTAACCTACTCCATGACTTGTTTTTGACACATAAAGTGTCATTTTAAAACTAAAGAAATACCTATGGTTATTATTTTTTCATTTTATACCCAAATAGCTTGATTCTGTGTTATTGAAATGCTAGGAAACATTTCATACAAACTCCAAATCAAGAGTCATTCCAATTGTATAGATGCTGTAGGAAATAAGTAGTGAGAATTATCTCTCCAACAAATTTAATAAACCCAAAGGAAACAAAAACAAAAGCAATAATGTTTCTGCTTGAAGGAGAGGTTAGAAATGAAAGAGAACAATCTATTAAAATATGATCTTCTGAGAATTCCCTCTTTAACACCGTGTAAGGAACTTCAAAAATCTTTCTTCCAATCTTGAAGGACAGCTGGTTGAAGTGTCTTCATCCGTCAAGTTCCAAGGGTTACCCCATGTCTGACAGCGTGGTGTGTTCAAGGTGATAGGGAAGAGGCTGAAAATTAAAATGCAAAGGACATCTTTCTATGCCATCTCAGAGCTACGAGACAACGCTCAATGCCGAATCAAAAAACAGCTGATTGTACGAGTGTTTGAAGAATTCTAAGTAGACAAGTTTTAGTTAGATATTTTTTTGATGAACCTGTTACTTATAAATTATGAGAGAAGTATTTTTATGATAGTAAATAATTGATAGTGTATGATTTATACGAATCAATCAATTATTTGGGATGCGGACGTCAACTAGGTGCGTATAGAGGTTCCACTCTAGAGTGATCAGTGTAGAATGTTGTGAGATAATCTATGTAGCTTTCTTTGTTACTGAATAAGATCAGCTGTTTCATTAGTCAGGATCTTTTATTCAAAGTCCAGTGATCAGAAACAGCTGGGTCCGGTTTCAAACCATAAAAAAACTACTGACTTTTCTCAAGATCGGAACGACGACTTTTTGATTTAGATTGTTAGACGAGCACTATAACCACTCATCTAAGCCATTCATCTAGAAAAAAGTTATCTAAAAATAGTATACTTAGTCACTCGTTGAAGTGAAAAACTCGATGAACACCTTTTAGTTTCATTACATTTGACTTGTTGTTGTTGATTAGTCTATTCAGCTTATTTTTTATCAGAAAAACAATTAAATTGTGTCGATGAGTGTGAGAGTTTTGTGCTGAATCTACAGGTTCAAGTCCCACTAGTTACCAATGGCTTTCCGACCATAAACTCTTTGATACCGGAAACAACTTCATGAACTTTTTATCGATATTTCATACCAGGAGAACTTTCTATGCATTAGAGAACGCTCCCATAAAGCATTACGAAAGTGAAAACACCACAAATCAAAAACTACTTGTAAACAGAACTTAATTGAAAAGAGAAGGTAACCGTAAGGCAATCGGTTACTTACTTGGATAACGGTTACTTACCTGGGTAACTGTTACTTACTTGAATAACAGTTACTTACCTGGATAACGGTTAATTACCTGGATAACGGTTACTTACTTGGATAACGATTACTTACCTGGATAACTGTTACTTACCTGGATAACGGTTACTTACCTAAATAACATTTACCTACCTAGATTACAGTTATTTACATGGATAACGGTTCCTTACATGGATAACGGTTACTTACCTAGATAACAGTTACTTACCTGGATAACATTTCGTATCGTGTAGCACTAAGCCTGCCACTGTAACAATCCAATCCTCTCTATTTCTAGGTCAGATTTGTCCTAGAGCTAGTTTCACTATCTAATGACGCAATCTCCGCCTTTCAAGAGGCTTGCCCTCTAAGCGCTGATAATTGGTGTGAAATATGCCCTTGGTGATGAGATTTCAGTCATCTGAATTACACTTACTTGGATCTCCTTACAAAAGGAGGGCTTTTATTCCTTATTTTGAACTGATTGAAAGGAGGTTTGAAAGTATCTTACTCATGAAGTCAAGAGAAGGTCAGGGTAGTTGACGAAGCGTTAATTTGAACGCTATGAAGCAGAAAAACAAGTTTACCGGACAGTAAAATGAGGATAATGAATGCAACTGAATTTATCCAAGAAATAATACTGCAAATAACTACTAGGGATTAAATCAAATAGTTTGAGAAATTATTAAACGAGTTGCATTTAGTATTTTGAGTACAAAAGTGACATAATATGGGTTCACATACGTCAATGTGTAGACACCATACTCCAAACATCTTTCAAAACGTTTTTTTATGTTGTTACGTCAATTTCTCAAACATAAAAATCTGAATATTTTGATCGAATTAATTTTGATAACAACAATTACCAAACTCAGTTCCTGGATTTAACAAAACCACGTTATTATTGTTGTTACTTGCAGTAAAATGCATTGTATAGAATGTTTTGCTGACTATAAGAACAGCTGTTTCTTCAGTAAGTACCATTAATTCACCTCAAAGATTAAGAATAGTCATATGTTTTAAATTCCAGATCATAATGAAACTAACATAACGTAGTTGAAACTGCATGAATAATAAAACACGTGGTTCAGTTGCAAGCAACGGACTCAACAATTCAGCTGTTGTCGTCGACGTAGGAAACTAATTAGACCGTAGGAAGACAGGATGAGTTCGGAATGTAAAACCTAGAGCAGGCCTAAGTAATTGTAGCGTAGGTGCGACCTACTGCAGTCTTTCCAGGATAACCTTGTTGACATTGAACCTCTACAAAGAATAATAAACAATCTTTCCATGCCTAAAATATCGTCGAGGGTAATGTTCCTTTTTGCTAAATAGACACATCCTTCTTATAGGGACGTCTTAAATATTTGATTCGTAAATTTTGTTGTACCTATTCGCATGAGGATGACAGCCTTGATGTGATAGGTCACTCTCAAACAAGGAAAACTTCCTTGTTGCGAAACTACTGTAACTTGTAAATTCTTTTGAATCTCTCTACATCTTCACAGTTTGTTTCCTAACTCTTAGATCAAGTTTTCATCGTGTAACAATACTATGACCTATGACCTGACGGACGATTTTATGTACAAACATGGCGTTGGCGTTTTCTTAAAACATATTAGTACTATGAGGCTATGTTATGGCTTTGTTTATAATACATTTGTTTTATAACCATTGGCATCGTTATATCTTTACACCGTATCAGGCAAAATGTGTAAAAACTTTAATTGTCAGTACAACTTTTATCCTCGCTTCACGTGTTAGTTGGTAATACCCGATGCTTTTTCAACGTGACATTATCCGATAGTTTCCTTTCTGACGCCACCAGGAATATCGGGTATTTACTAAAGATTGCATTTGACATGATTGCATATTATCTTGTGACTTAATTAGTGCTTTGTACATGTAACAGGTACGATTGTATAGCCGTGTTCGGACTTAGTGTTTATCAAGACCTCCTTTTAGTAAAATATGTATCATCCTACTCTTATATGAGCAATGTTTGCTTGTGTGCTGTTATATTTCTGAATTGTACATTTCTATGTAATATTGAAACAATAAAGATGTTTCTAATTTCTTTTTTCTTTTGTGTGTATGTATGCTTGCACAAAGATCTCGAAAACGGCTTCATCGATTTCCTTCAATCTTCAATTGTTGTAATTAATTTATATCAGTCTAAAAAAGTGTTTACTGGAGTTAAAATCAACACAAATCTAATTACGTAAACAAATATTATTGAAAGTCAAAATTTATAACATTGGCCATATGGATTGCCAAGTAACAATTTTCTTGAAAAAAAAATAACAAGGAAAAAGTAAAAGACTTGTAACATGTGTTTATAACAAGTTATTCGCAGTATACCAGCAAATTACAAAATACAGTACAAAGGGAATAAAACATAAGTTGTTACTATTGAGTAAAGATTACACTGAAGATTACTCGATATAGGGGTACAATGGAAATAAACTATACCACACGATGGCTTGGTACCTAGGTACTATTTAATAAAAAGGGATACCGGAAAATTACAAAGCTTTGATCTAGTATTATCAATTAAATAACCAATAAAAAACTAACCCAATGCTCTCGAGTATTTACTATTTTTATTACGTAACGTTATTAATTTTTTATCGTTTTGAAATTTCCTTTTTGAAGATTGATGGGTAGATTTATTTGTAATTATTTAATTAAATACAGCAGTTAAACAGCAAATTTGCATTTGTACGCAATATTATTCGTGTCTAGAAATACGTCTAATGGACAAAAATATAATATTTTTTAATTTTTGAAAGCCTCTACAATTTGCCTATTTTTCTTTTTCAGGAAACATTAGCAATAAAATATTACGTGAAATGGCCCAAATCACTTCGCTAACTGCTGAAATAGGGAATATTTTGACAAATGTACGTTATGGAGTATGAGATAGAGATACATATTTATAAATCTACTCATAAACAAGAACATGTGAGGTTTATGTAAAAAAGTTTAACAGTGGCACCTGTCTAATTTATGTAGGACCTTTACGCCTATGTTTTGAAACAATAAAAAAGCTCTGATATAAACCTAAGTACTTTATTTTGATCCCTAAAATTAAAAGTATGAAAAATGTATTTAAAAAAAGTATCTTTCACAAACATTTTCGGTTCAAGTACATCAATTGTGTGACCAAAGGTCAATCTAACTTGAAAATAATACTTCCGAGGTTAATGTCACCCAAAGTACCATCGACGACAATCAAAGTACTTTTCCCACTTTTATCTCAACAATCGGAAAGTTACCTGTCAAATTGGGTCATGACTAATGCATAAACCTTGCTTTCAGAGCTGTCAGAGACTACTTGATATCGCTGGGAGGCTGTATATCTTCTACCACGGACCCAAACTCGACAATCTGTATCTCGATCGGCGGAAATGGACCAAAAGACGCTTCACACCAACAAACCGGAAAAGGTTAGTAAATAAGGGATAGAATTCACTAAAGAATAAAATATATTTTGCCTTCAAATTGTTGAGTAGCACAGGGTAAGGAGTAGACATTATTTTTTTTCTGTATGTTTTGTCAATTTGTATTTATTTTGTACATTTTAACTTGGTTGTTTTTGACGGTTTACATAAGGTCCATATGATTGTGTAGTCATTTGGTGGAGCAAGCTAGTAGGTAGAGTGCGGGTTCAGTCTCCTAGGTAACAAATTCAAATCTGTCAAATCACTAACGGATTTTACCTAATTACATAATAATACCACGATCCCTAGGTCTAGCCTGAAGTAATGTGAAAAAAATCCTGGCTAGAGGATAGCGTCCTAGGACAAAAATTACATTTTGTTAGATAATAACGTTAATTGATGGCCCAATAAAATGGGATCTAATGTCAGAATTTACCCCGTATGTGTGTTTCTTTTAGAAAAAATCAGCCATGTTGATTTGCTTCCTTTTTTTGTCAGCATGACACATTTTTTAGGTTTAAATACATACACAGTAAACCAACGACACTACTATATAAATCATAGCTAACCTGATATCTAAATGGTTCATCATAGGCTGTATTAATAGTTTTGATACATTTGTAGTTGACCACCCTGTAAATTAAACGTTATATGTTATATAATACCCTAACCTAGAAACTAGTACCCTATGAGCATTGTTTAGACATTTCCCATATTGCACCACAGCCTTACAAATATGTCTTACTTTAGTTTGCGACTGTTTTGTCTTACTAGTACAGCAGCTTTCACCTCTGCTTTACGAGCTATTATTGTCTTAGAGTAAAAGTGGACGCTAAACTAAAAACACAACTCACAGCAATTGATAATCATACTTATGCACGCTCCCTTCAAATCATTGGCAAAATATAACCTAATACATGGAAACAAAGAAAATTTAAACATTTTGTATTGTAAAGAAACTAGTTCACAAAATAAAGTTTAATACTTTCTTTTTAAATAGTGACCATACAAAGTAGGTATTTTAAGCCAAGTATGAATGGAGATAATTTACCAAAAACGTTTCTGTCAAAAACTTGTTTTAAGCCCTTTCATGACATACAAAGATGGAACATTATACCTTTCAAGCATTCTGAGCTTAAGCTAACTCATTATTGCCTAAAACTATGCACTCCAGTCGTATAAGAGCAAACAAATGGAATTTTTAATAATAGTGAAGACAATGTATTAATCATTAACTTTAATTTTTCGACTTCTTGTTCGTTAAACAATAGATGAATTGTAAGAATTCTTAGAGCGCTCTTGAAATAAGAAAACATAACAATAAAACAAAATCAGACATGCGTTCAAGGATGATTTCAAGGCTTACCACTCTCCCTTCCTTGCGTATTATGTAACCCTGGGTAATTTGCGAATGTAATATCCTAACCAGAAACAATAACAACCGATCAAGCCAACTTAAACCGGCTAATAAAGTTTTGTTTTGCATTACTGCAAGGACAAAAGGTATAGTAAAATACATTGAAACCAATTTATATTATACTCTGACCAAAATAGCCAATCTAATGAACTTTAATAACATGTTTTTTTCCAAATCGCAAAAATATAAGCAAAGTAAAATTTTAGCCTGTGTGGCTTGAATGGTTTCATTACTAGCAAAGGCTGCTTTTTACATTGATCGCCATTACAAATCAATTGGCAGTAACCTTAAATTTTACAAATTAAATATTTTAGAATGATTGGATGACATAACAGCCATACTTTAGGTTTACTTTCAAGTTTTTACAGAATTTTGTTTATAGCTTAAACCTACAATTTATGAAACAATAAAAGTAAGTTGCGAAATTCCAGTGTCATTGGTCTATGAATACAGAAATTAATATGCCGTACATACGATCTAAACTAAAGACAAACTTCCGGTTGCATCCTTTTTTAATTTGACCTTAGTTGAAACATCGTTATACGTAAGATTGTTGGAACCCTATAATTCTTTGTTATCTAATTAAATTTCAATTTTAAATTAGCTTCTGTTTAGTAAATACATTACTTAATTTGGGTAGTGTAGGGTGCAGTAGTTGTGAGGAAGTTATATTTTCTTGATAGATGTATGAAAGCTTAATTAGTGCACTTTAGTTTACCTTTCCATTTAATTCTCAAAGAAAACTAAAGTTAAAATTTGTTGTGTGTTCTTTTGTTTGTTGTGTGTGTGTTTTTGTAAATTAATGTTGTATTTTTTGTTACAGGTTGCTTATGACAATCCGGGTTTAATCCTAGGTTCCAAAACTTCTCTGGCGCCACCGCCTTATTCGGAAGGGAAAAGGTATGTTGATAATGATTTATCAACTGAATTGATCTGCAATACACATTTTGATTTACATTAAAACGTATATTCTCAAAAAATCAGTTTTAAGTCTAAACTAGATAAACGAAAGAATTCGAGATTGTTCACAATTTTATTACATTGTTCAACTTGAGTGGATCGAGATAAGTCTTCTGTCTGCTTCTTGAGACGATGACATTACATATGTTTCAAGTGTTTAAGATTAGGTTGTAGACTCTTCTAGTAAAAAGGCTCAGATAACTTTACAAATTTATAATATCCATTTCTCTTTGTACCCAAAGCTTTTGCAAAGATTCAACGACTCTTTGCAAAAAAGGTTTTTTTTTTTTTAATATTTGCAAACCAAACAATTCTACTGACAAAAATTTTTAATGACTATGTTTCCAAATATTTACAATGTAAGAACGTATCAAAAACTTTAAATACTTATTATGTTTAATTTTTCCAGCTATAGCAAAGAAAAAGAAGCACTGTCAAATGTATACGTTGTACCAAGAAATGCTGAAAAACCGCCCAAAGAAGACCACTACGAACCTTACGATAACAGAAAAGTGAAGCATGCCACGACGTAAGTTAAAGTAGCCCAGTAAAATTAGTTTTTTAAAGCTTCGTAACATTTTTATACAAGAAAATACTTTTAAAATTATACTAGAGGACCCTTAGCTGCTCCGCTGCGTTGAAATCTTTTTTGATTAAGCATCATATTTTAATGTAGCATCTTGATCTCAACTGATTCAAGGGTTCAATATTTCAAATGAAAACGTTTATTTCTAGGAGTATTTTAATACCAAGACATAAAATTACAAAAAATTGAGTTTCGTATCATTGATTGCAGATAAGGCCTAAAATAATAATTTTGATTGATTATTGATTATTGAGACTGGACGTACTTAAAGCACGCTGCTGAATCACGAATCAACAATAATTTCATTATTTTAACTATTGTTGATTCGTGATTCAGCAGCGTGCTTTAGGTACGTCCAAACTTAATAACCCTTAATAAGCTTTAATATAATAAGCTTTAATAGGCTTTAATAAGCTAGCTTCCACTTAAGGTTCTTAGAACAAAAGATATATGATAACTGTCATTATGCTATCACAATTTTGTATATTTTGCAAAAATCTTCTTAATTTTAAGAATCGTTGAGAACTGACTTACCTGTTTTTCTTGCAGGTTTTCAGAGACACTGTTCCACATGCTAAAAGCCAGTTTAGGCACTGGTATTCTTGCAATGCCTAATGCCTTCCACAACGCAGGGTATATGGTGGGAACCATAGGCACCTTGGTGATAGGCTTCTTGTGTACCTACAGTATACATATACTGGTGAGTAGACCTACTCAAGATGATTAAAAATAATATTTTATCTGAATAAACTAAATTTGGGGGGGGGTTTCTCATTTCAATACAACCAGCGTAAAAACACAGAAACTGGAATCCACTAAACCTCATGAAGTCCCTAAAAACATGAGCTATTAAAAACTTTCTGTTACCCACGGGCTCCACCCCATTTGACTTCATAAAACTATTGATTGGTTGTTAAGCTGAAATAAACAAAACAGAATACAGTAATACAAACAAATAATCACACCAGATTTTAATAAGGTAATAAATTGAAAGAAAAACATACAAATTAGTATAGCTAATTTGCTAACATTATGTTGTATAGCTGTGATATTTTTAACATTAGGTATATTGAGAGTTCCCTTTAGGAAGAAATTATAACCTTATAGGGCAATTTAATAATGGATAGTTTTGCGCAATGTTCATGACGAACATTTTAAGTATATGGTTTATAGGGGTGTGACTTGTAGTTTTCTCAAAAGTTCATGGGTACTGTGGGCTTTATATATGGATGAGTCTTTGTCAGTTTCTAAGCACAACTTTACTCCGACCTTCAACCACTTACAGCAATACCTGAAGTTATTGTTCCCAATGATTTATGAACCAAGATAATCCTACTTTAACCGTTTCTCCGTCGGAAACGCTTGAACAACCTTTGCGTGCATTTCAAGGTTGTAAGACGTTAAAATGTTATAATTAGTTTTATTCTGAAGATTGTGAGCATTTATATTTATCAATATGTCTCGTGAAAAAGTGTGATAGGTGAATTTTGAAGACCCATTAAAAAATTGTTTTCTAGAAAGATTGCGTGTTTTGAAAAAAATCTGTCACTTCCTGGAAAGTCATGGATACTGATAACAAAGGTGTCTTAAGCACATAAAATTCCAATTTTAACCATGATTAGGGTTAAATACAGCATTTGTTTAAATACAGTAGGCTCACCATTATACAGTAATTTAACAAACATTTCTGTAAGACGTCTTAAACTTTATTCGAGTTTTAAAATCGTGACAAACATTGTGTCCTGAAATAAATTTTCAGTTTGCTTGATGTCTTTTTAGTATATTTTGGTTGATTAAGCGACTACAAAGAAAAAAAAAACGTATAAACAAAAAAACTATTGAGCCTTCGGATCACGACGCAAAACAGCTGATTTATCGTGTTGCGAGAGGTATTGTTGTTCAGCAGGCGTTTAATTTACAAAATCTCGTTGAGAAATATCTTGTGCTTCAGTGTGCTTGAGTTCAGTGAGTCTGAAGGAATTTCGTTCTTTGAGCGATTGGTTTTGTTACATAATGTATCCTTGGTTTTGTCCGTTTTAGATATCAGCTGAATATGAACTTTGCCGAAGAAGGAAAAAGCCAAGCATGACTTATCCTGAGACTTTAGAAGCGGCGCTGTTGGAGGGTCCACAGCCTTTGAGGAGGCTGGCTCCTTACGCCGAGTAAGTAAATAAAGTAAACATTTAGTTTACTGTAACAGTTATGTTTTTAAAATCTTTGAATTGTAAATTGTTATCCAGAGACATAAACATGGTGCTAGAGCCTGGCTTTAACATAGATAATGTGAATTGAGAAGGAAGATTATACAATTAATTTTGATGGATGTTTTTGATTGATGATTGTGCAGGGGTTAGAAAATGAATTGCTGTACTTTTGTACGTTTGTCTTGTTTAGTGTATTGGTTTATTATTACACTTTGCATGTTGAGTAACGTTTAAGAAAATAAATAAGGCTTCCTTTGCTATTTAGACTATTTATTTTTCAGTTTCGTGTGCAACCTGTTCCTAATGTTATACCAAGTTGGGTCTTGCTGTATTTACTATGTGTTCGTCGCATCCAATATCAAAGCTGTGAGTTATCCAAATTACAAATATTAAACTAGAAAAATATAATGTTAATAAACATAACTACGTTATCTATCACACTGTCATTCTCTGTACTGTGATTTACATTCTAATATTAAGGGAGTTTTCTCAGTTAACTGTTCCAAAGCAGTTACAATGTCATGTTTACAATCGTGTTTATTGTTAGGTTCTGTGAAATTCAATCCAGTTAATAGATTTATAGTTCTTACAAAACGTAGAACGTTAAGTCGTGTGAAAACTAATAAATTATCACTTTGTCATCTAAAAATTAAAACAAAAATAAAACTTCTACTGAATCTTTTTTTAAAATTCAAAACGTATGTTAAAATTGTTCAGGTGACAACTGTGCCCATTCCAAGTTGCAAAAACTTGACATATTCATAGCAAACCACTATCATAATGCTAAATGTTACTTATCATCATGTGTTGGTCCTTCATAATTTATTTGAACATTGTGGGTTATCAAATAAAATACTAAAATCCACTTTGTCGAGATGACAAAACTGTCATCAGGCAATTTGACCGACATCTCAATCCTCATGTCTGCCTTAAAATAGGTCTAAATGCATCATAATTTCAGTATAATTTATTCGACTTTATAGGCTTACCTCCGTCATTAGTCCAAAATTGCGTATAATCTTCAAAGCTGACATGTTTCGTTGCAATGCAACATGGTCGGAGCTTTACGCAAAAAAGAATTACACATACAGTACATACACACGACACGGGAAAGGGGACATTTAAACACGAAATAGCACGATAGCGCTATAATGGCTCGGCGCGGCAGCGGTTGTAGGTAGACTGGCTAACATACAGCTACATTTTTTGAAGTTAGACGCAATTTTGGACTACTGACGGAGGTAAGTCATTTATACGTAGTCCAAGGGCTATCAGAATGAATACTATAATGTATACACATTAATAGATTATATTTGCGAGCCTAACCTTATTATCCCAAGGTCGCTGACGAGTACGTTGAGCCTATCGATGTCAGGATCTACATGTGTTTTCTGCTGATTCCCTTCATCCTGATCAACTGCATCCGCAACCTGAAGCTGCTGGCTCCTTTCAGCACTGCTGCCAACTTCGTCACTGTTATCAGCTTTGCCATCATCGCGTACTACATGCTGACCGACATACCGTCGCTGGACCAGCGCGCTGCCGTGGCCAGTTTCAAGGGAATGCCGCTGTTCTTCGGCACTGTGCTGTTTGCGATGGAGGCTATTGGAGTGGTAAGATTGTATTGTGCTGTATGTTTAGAAGAAAGTGTTGAACAGTCCAGGATTTATGATTGGTTTACAAGGAGTTGGTTGAATTTGCAGTGAGATAGACCATTAGCTTGTTGACTTTTCGAAACGTTGCCCAGCAGTCCTTGAGCATTTAAACTTTATTAATGGTCCTGGTTAAAGAACTTACTTATCTTAATCAGGGACTAAGCTGCCTAGACCGTCTCAATTTTCTGCAATCACCCTCCACATTCAGCTTAAACTAGGCACCCGGGAAGGGAGCTGGTTTAGCGGTAGATTATAGGACGTCAGTCCCTGATGTCTCGGGTTCAAATCCCACCAGATCACTAATGTATTTTATCTAAGTGATAATGCCACTACCCTTTGGTCTAGCGTGAAGTAATGTGAAGAACGAGCCCAGGCTAGAACCTAGCTTCCCTAGGAAAATAAAACTACGCACCAAAGTATGTGCCACTATCATAAAGAGGAACGATGAATTGAAAGAGAGTCGGTTGACCCATTGATGAATATTTCAAGAAAACTCCAGAGAACGAAATATCCATAAGTTAATGATGCATTTAACCATGCTATCCAACAACAATGTCGAAGGTAGTAAGAAGACTAAGTTCTGACATTTCCAATAAAAAACGTAAAATGCCATTGACGTAGAAAACACTCAGAAAATAAATTTTGAATCAGTGGTGTAACCTACACTAGCTTTCTTGGGTTCGAAGTCTTTCGTGCCACCGACTGAGCCATCAAATCACAGGCATTTCTACAACTTTATCTTTTGATTTACTTCTCCTTCACTCAAATAACTGTCTTCCTCAGGTGATGCCACTGGAGAATGAGATGGACCGTCCTGAAAGGTTCGGCAACATGTTCGGCGTCCTCAACTGTGCCATGTTGCCCATCACCATCCTCTACACCCTCGTAGGCTTCTTTGGATACCTCAAGTACGGCCAGGGAGCTCAAGGAAGTGTTACTCTCAACCTGCCCAATGATCATCTGTGAGTAGATATTTAGTATAGCTACTAGGAAATGAACATAGACATTCCTTCTTTGGTCCAATTGAAAGGTTTCTTATGTTGCACCTTTGGCAAACTGCTACTTATAAACAGTTAGACTATCATGTCTGTGTAAAATTTTAAATACTTATAATTAAAAATAAATTCAATGATTGTGGAGTCACAATCATTGAATTTATCTGTATCGTCCTTATCTGTATGTCTTGGTAAATTAAATTTAGAAATTACATATATAGTATTGTTGGTTAGTAGAACGGGTAGTTATGTTATTATTATTGGCCTGGCCATGGTCTCAGATCTTTCATTCTCATCCTCTAAAACCCATACCATATTTTAGAAGAGGTTTATTTCAGTAGATGGAACATAATGAGATGTTTCTGATAGTTGAAATCCATTTGGAAGTCATAATTATGGAGAGATTAATGTAATTTCCATCCCAAGAGTTTCTTGTAAATAAATATATCACTGGTGTAGTTCTTATAGATCAGCAAAAGATAACTTGAATGCATCTATCCACCGTATAGGTTCAGTGCATTTGATTTTGAACAACCATTGTTTCAATAGGCTACATCAACTTTACAAGTAGGTGACCAAAGCCATAAGTTTGCACATTGTTACTTCCCTAGGGTAATGGGTAATATTGCCAATACGTAAACGCTCTGTAAAATTCACCCTAAAAACATAAGTTCGAGTACACTTAAACATGACGAACATGAAACACTTAATATTTCTCAGGCACAACAGGAATTGATATTGACTGGGACGGGTGGCGTCGTCCTGTAATCCAGCTACTAGGAGGTCACGAATTGTGGATATTGATAGGCATGTACTGTGGATGCGATACTCCCTGGTGTGGATTAACATCCGCACGAGTGAGTACTACGACTATCCGCAGTGCTATCCTGATAATTAGACCAATTCGTATATACCAAGGCAAAAATGTGGTTCGGATTCCACTATAAACTGTATGTCCCTTAGTTGCCATTAGCTGTATGGGCTATTAATTAACAGCTATGTCTAAGGAATAAGTCGGCCTTATCACTAACAAGCCTACAAGATCGCGCCACTCCCTACACTCATCTCCATTCATACTTGGCTTAAAATACCTACTTTGTATGGTCGCCATTTAATAAGAAAGTATTAAGGATTTGGTAGACTAATCGCAGTATAGTCTGTAAAATGGAACATGTCTTCTCACCTTTCATCCACCTAGGACTGGCCTGGGCCTAATCATTGGCCAGTTCTTAGGTGGACGAAGAGGAGATTCTATCAAACTATAAAGTCAACGTATGATCCAAATGATCCAATTCCATCTTTCCTTGTCTCAGACTGGCGCAGTCCGCCAAGCTGATGCTGGCCGCTGCCATCTTCATCACACACGGCCTGGCGTGCTACGTCGCCTTCGATATCATCTGGCATCAGAAACTCAAACCTAAAGTGACCGGCAACAAACTGGTGTGGGAATATGTCACTAGGACAGTGCTAGTGCTGATCACTTGTGAGTATGCCAAGATATATTGTACATTATATTACTTCTTATTCTCCTCTAATACAAAGCTACGGCGAGACAAAAGTGGCAACGCCGTAGCGGCGGCCTACCGAAACAGCTGCTGTACTAATGCATAATTAGGTTATTCTATATATATTAACTAGCTGTAACCCGCGGGCTTTGCCCCGTTTAACTTCTTAATTTTCAAGATGATCTCGTTCGCATGGCTCAATCACGTCCTGGTTGAAGTTCGTTCGTTACGCTTACTCACCTTTTGGTTGCAAATTAGCTGTTGTCATAAATGTAAAAGAAATAATAGTGCTGCACCCTGTTGGTAATCCTTGTAACTTTAATGCTATTGACCATCATAGAACAGAACCAACTTGTTTAATTGAAACAGCTGTTAAGATTCATTAATTCCATTTCTCATAAAGTTAACATGGGAAACTCCAGAGCCACTGGGGCGGAGCCGATTGGACGGATCACGAAATTGATGATGTATAAACCTATTCCATGAAATTCTACACGTATGTACCAAGTTTCGTGGCAATCGGTTCAGCGGTGTCTGAGTTTATCACTGCCAAATATACAAACATCCTCTTTTATACTTATAGATTTGAAACTGTTTTTCTTTGTCATAGCTAAATTGAGAGAACGGCTGGGCGTAGTAACTCGATAGAGGTGTCTAAAGAAAGGTCTTGGTCTGTAGATGAGCCATCAAAAGAGAAACGTGGTAAATTCCCATGGGGCTCTGCCCCAGAGGCCTTTGAATTCCCATCCCATGTTATTCTTATGGAGGAAAAACTGGGGTTTTGTCCCAGTTAATTTGAGAGAACTGCTGGGCGTAGAAACTTGGTAGGGGTCTCTAAAGAAAGGTCTTCGTCTATAGATGAGCAATCAAAAGAGGAGCGAGGTAAATTCCCTTGGGGCTCTGCCCCAGAAGCCTTTAAAGTTGCCTCTTCAAATTTGTTTACCATATGCATAAATCTACACTACTTTTTAATGAAACAGCTGTTAATATTTAAATTGTGATTTATTGAATTTTTCAAAATGAAGTACAGTATCTGTATCGTGTCATGTTTTGCAATATAAAGTTCTATTACCGAATCAGTGGAAAATCCTAATATCACAGTAACTCTTAAAATTATTTCTTATGGAGTTAACTTATATCTATTGTATGGCTTGGTTTCTGCCTTTTACTTTCTCCCCCTATACCATAGTATATGGAGAAAGTATTGTTTTCGTCAAAATTTTCGAGTTTGAGTTTTGAGTGGATATATTCGTTTTGGGTCCCCCTGGACCCAAAAAAGTGGTTTTCGAAGTGATGTCTGTGTGTGTGTGTGTGTGTGTGTGTGTGCGTGTGTGTGTGTGTGTGTGTGTCTGTGTGTCTGGATGTGTACAGAGCTAGAGACCACACCTGTGGTCCGATTTCGATGAAATTTGGTATGTAGGTTCTAATCCATGGTATCTCCAGGCGTTTTTTTCATTTTTTTGAAATTTTTATTTTTAATGGGGATTTTCCCATAAAAACCCATAAAAAACCGGAAAAATTGGATTTTTTCGAAAATGGCCGAACGATTTTGATAAAAATCTAGTATGTTGTAGCTCTTTAAATTCTGAATAAAATGGTACAAATCCCATATCTGTAAAAATTATGGTTCAAAAGTTATGGTAAAATATGTTATTTTCCCATAAATACCCCATAAAAAACGAAAAATAAAAATCCGTTTTTGATTTAACGTAGTATGTTATAGTCTTTACAGTTTTGATTGTTTTTTTTTAATTTTTTTAGAAATTTTTATTTTTAATGGGGATTTTCCCATAAAACCCCATAAAATAACGGAAAAATAAGATTTTCCCAAAAATGTCCCGAACGATTTTGATAAAAAATTAGTATGTTATAGTCCTTTATATTCTGAACAAAATTGTACAAATCCCATTTCTGTAAAAATTACGGTTCAAAAGTTATTGTAAATTATGTCATTTCCCCATAAAACCCCCATAAAATAACAGAAAAATCGGATTTTCCCAAAAATGGCCAGAACGATTTTGATAAAAATTTAGCATGTTATAGTCCTTCCCACAATACAAATCCCATTTGCGTTTATTTACTCTCACCACTTACATATGATAAAGGTTTTTGACAAACTTATGGGAGAAAGTATGTGTCAGAATGCTGATACCGTTTATTTTACCACTTCTTGGAGATTGTACGTAGGTGATATTCTTTGGCGTATTGCATCTGTAGACGAAACTTGGGTTAGTGAAATTATTACAATGGAAAAAAGCTAGAAATCCTAGACAATTTGATATAGGCTAAAAATAAAACTGAAATTACAATATGCTACATTTCTTGAGCAATCATTGAAATAACCGATTTGCAAACAATGGAAACATAGAAAAAGTCATAGAACACAACCAAGTAGAAGAAAAGAAATAATTTTTTTTTCGTTTATAATCGTTATTTTAGACAACCGAATGCGGCTGAGAGGGAAAAATTTGTAGAAAACACTAAAAAACAAGATCAGCTTTTTGAAAAAAGATTAGATATTTACAATAGATTTTGATTATATCTAACTGTTGTATAGATCGTGAGTATTTCCATAATCTTTGAGTCGCCTGTAATGCTTCGCAATTGCTCGAATTCGAGCAACAGGTACACTAGTTGTTACTTATTTTGACTTATTGAAGTTTCAAACACAAGGTTACTAAAGCTAAAAACGCTCGTTACACGCAGATCCTTCATATTTCGTACAATCGTTCAGCCGCTTAGTAGTGACGCGTGTAGTATTCTAGTTAGAAAGGCGTAGACATATTTACACTCAACGATTAACCTTTGATAAATATAATTTATTTTTGTTATATTAGCCAATTATATAACTTTATTAAACATACTTTACTAATTCCCCTTCATGAAGTAGTGATGTCATACATTTGACTTTCATTTCCAAGGCATTGATTTATCAATGAATTTTCCTATTAGCTGTTGCCGTAGGTCTCGGGGTAAGACTTAGACGCAGGACAGATTTTCCTTTTAGTTTTTATGTATCCAGAGGCCGAAATCAACATCCGTTCAGATTCATATGTATAAATTTACGTTAACACGATAGCTCAAGCAAACATAATCCTAGTTTGAAGAAATGTTGTACAAACTTGTAAACCTACGTTTATTCGGACACGTTCTTGAACCAGCATGACCGTGCTATGGGATTTTATGTGGGGGTTTCATGGAGGTAATAACCAATCATTTCCCATTTTCGACCCTCTAAACATAACATTCCTTAATTTCTTTCATGCCATTTTGTAAAAAAAACACAAAAAAACAATTTTGTATATTGAATGGTTGCTTCGTTTATATAATTGTGAAGAAAATACAAAAATAAAATTTAACATTAACATTTTTATGCTGTGTTTATAGAGAATAATTATATGAAATAACTGGATAACTGCTGTAGTTCGCTTGTGTATCAATTTATTTTGATCTAATTTAGCAAACATACAGTGTGGTAGAAAAGTCCCGGAACGGTTAAATATTTTAAAAAAATAATGCAGATAGAGCTAAAATACTTGGAACAAAGTTACAGGGCATAAAACTCTATTTTAACACATATTCAGTGATTCAATAACACTTCAGGGGGACGTCCCACAAGGAGTCGGAAGAAAATCTTTTAAAGGAAGCATAGGTCAATATGCACATCAAATTACATTTCTCTTTTAGTAGAATACAATGCCGCAAACCGCACTTCAAAAGGTTAATCCTGCGCAAAATGACAGATGTTCAAAGATTCATTTAATTTACATTGCTATTATACGCTTTCTCCTCAGGGGGCACAGCCCTAGGAATCGGAAGAAAATTGTTAACGTAAGAATAGGTCGATATGCACATAAAATTAAAGGTCTTTTTTTTAGATTACGATGCCGTAAATTCAAGCTCAAAAGAATGCCTGAGTAAAAAATGGCAGTTAATTTTTGCGGATTCAAGAAAAATTTGAACATCTGCCATTTTGCGCAGGATCAAACTTTTGAAGTGCGGTTTGCGGCAGTGTATTCTACTAAAAGAGACCTTTAATTTGATGTGCATATTGACCTATGCTTCCGTTTAAGATTTTCTTCCGACTCCTTGTGGGCCGTCCCCCTGAAGAATTATTGGATCACTGAATATGTGTTAAAATAGAGTTTTATGCCGTGTAACTTTGTACCAAGTATTGTAGCTCTATCTGCATTATTTTTTAAAATATTAAACCGTTCTGGGACTTTTCTACCACACTGTATTTATTTCCTACTAAGCTATCAACAAACTTTATTACCTTCCCTGAAGCAGCAAACCTAAAGATCTTGTTAACATTTTACAGTCCTGTTCGCCGTGGCCATCCCCAATCTGGAGCTGTTCATCTCTCTCATCGGCGCCTTCTGTTTGTCAACCATGGGTCTGTCGTTCCCTGCGCTCATCCAGATGTTGACCTTCTGGGACTTCTACCGAGGCTTTGGCAAACTCCTCTTCTTCCTCAAGAACTTCGTCGTCGTCCTCATAGCCATCCTTGGGTTTACGATCGGGGTGACTACCAGCGTCCACGAAATCTACCTTAAGTTCTTCGCGTAGGTGTCTCATAAAGAAGTCTAACCGTAAAATGCGATTTAAAAGTGATATTCTAAGAATTAGGATTTTTAGAAATTGTTCAAAAGTGATAGTATTTTAATTATTATTTTTGGTTCCAATCTTTGCATCTAATATGAAAAAAATATTACAATTTTGTACATTCCAAAGTAACGTCAGTTTATAAATTGTTCTTAATGTGTTTTAAAATATTTCCATATAAAATAGTTAGTCAAAAACCAAACCTTTAATTTGAAAATTTTTAGCCGTGTATGCGGTTGGTGTAAAATTAGCATCGTCAACAATATTTCCTTCATAGGCTAGTCATTTGTAGATAATTTCCTAAATTATTCCTTTATTGCAATTTTATAATATTATTGATTCAGTATGAATTTAATAAAAAATAATAATAAAGTATGTAATACAGTAATTAATAGTTAGATTTTTGTTAATTTTAATGTAAACTGTTTACAGAGAGAGTTCACTCTTCTACCAATTAGTTAATCAATTAACGAAGTCCATAAAACAATTAAACATTCGGTGATTGTTCAAAAGTATTTAAGGATTTATGTAAATATAAAATAAATGTGATAGTATGCTAGGTAAATATTTAGTTGTATTGTTAACTGTTAGCATAGTTATTTTCTATCCTGATATTTAAAATTCGTAAGAAATGCATATTGTTATTATTTAGGTTAGTAAATTATTTACAGCTTTATTAAAAGTTATATAAGATTTTTACGTTTAATTTTATTGTTTTTTACTCAATTTAATGTTAAACAATATTCCAAAATAGGTCTTCAAATTTTATTGCCCATCCTGATTGTAAAAATATTATAAATCTTTAAATTAATGTATTATCAATCGTTAAAAATTGTTGTGAATAAACAAGCAATAATGTGTGCAGCTTTTACCACTGTTGTGGAAGATGTTTATTTATGTAAATACTGTAAATATTTCTATACAAATTAATTTTTAAGAGTGCCTGTGTAGGGCTGTGATGTTTTTATGGTATTGATTATATTGAAATAAAATGTACTACGATCATTGGCCTTTTAATTATACAACTTGACAATTTAGTATTTAGTTTCTCAAAATTCAATTTAATCATTGACCTCATTTAGCATTGAAAATTATGACTTAAATCGACAAGTGGATTGTTTGGGTGTTAATTGTTACTGAAAATTATTTTTTGTACGAAAGAACTGTTTCTTAATACATTTTGGGGTATGAAAGTTTTATTGGCCTTAAATTGAAAATAAACTTTTAAAACCGCAAACAAAATAAAATGAACATAAACTGTCCACACAGATACAAATATTTAATGCGAGTTTCATTCTTAATGGAAGAAACACCAAGGTGATAAATGAGTTGTTTGACAAATTTTCTAAGAGATTTTAGAATATTGTTTAAATATTTATGTTAGTCCTGTTTTTGTTTGGAGAGTTCAGCTAGTAAAGAAATATACAACAATTTATTATAAGCTTTCAAAGGCAGAACTCACAATGGAATTAGTTAAAATATATGCTAAACAAGATATATAACCATGTGGTCGGGTACAGTTAAATTTAACTAGATGCATTTTACTTACTCTAGTGATGCTTAACCAATTAATTAATAATACTTTGACATGCAACAGTCAATGATAAAATAACAAAAAAAACTTTGAGAACAATATTTGGGTTACTTATTGGGTCAGTCTATTTGGGTTACTATATATTTTTTTATTTTAAGAGAAGGTTTAATGTAGCAGGGATTGAAATCGAAACCTCGGATATTCGTTTAGAACCATCCCGTATGTGATGGCTACCATCTCCAGTTAACTACAAAAATAATACGTCCATAACTTGTTTTCAATGAAAATTCTTACATTTATCTCTTCTTTATTACGGTAAATGAAAATACTCGTAAATATAAATTGTAGATTTGGTCATACGCCTTACTAGCCAATTCAACATGTAAATTACGTACTCGAGCGGAATGCCTTGAAAAGCATCCTATGGTAAGATATATAAACAACTCTAACGTACAAATTAATTAGTATTGTGAGACTACGGAGATGGCAATAATGATGACGTAGACGACGACAGTTTGTTTATTGCAATGAGGAAAACTGGTGTTTTTATGCATTTGACAACAACGATTTGTGACAATGGTTATGAAGATGATGATTCATCATTATGGTGTTGATGACAATGAACATTTCTGATGACGATAATAATGAAGTCAAAGATTAATGATGATGATTTGTGATGGTGATAATGCCGGTGAACATTTCTGATGACGATAATAATGACGACAAACACTACGATAATAATGATGATGATTTCATCATATGGATTTTTTTATAATAACAATGATGATGATGATACTAATGACTATTTGTAATAACAATGGCAAAACAATTACGATTTTTTATTGTTAGGTGGTGACGATGATATCAATGGTGGCAAGGATTGTTGACAACGAGGATGATGATCACAATTATTATTATTGTTGATGATTGATGATTTGTGATGATGGTGTCACACAACGGAAGGGGAGGGGCAAAGTCAGTCAGGGCATGGCCGATGCCCTATGTACCAACTCTGAGATCTATTTTTGATTCCGTCTCTCAGTCTGTGATCTTCTATTTCCCCGCCTGCCACTACTTTCTCCTCCTGAGCTCAAACGTGCGTTCTACACTCGAAAAGGTAAGAATTGTGTTTTGTTTGTTGTTTTTAAACGTTTTTACTTTGTAGAAAAAAATTTAAGAGTATAACAACAATTTCAAGGATTAAAAATTCCATCGATTGTAAACTTATAGTTGTATAGATTATTGTTATTATAACCTCAACACAATTTTCACCTGTCGGTTTCAATGGTTAAATGGACCGGGACATATTAATAAATTATGGTTGTTGTAGTATGCTTTACATTTAAGATTTCATTATAAATCTGGTTTATACTTTTCACGGATCAAATTACGACACAGGAACGTCGTAGTGTGGGCATAACCTTCTTCAGGAAATTGAATGAATGAGTGAAAATGCTTATATGTTTATTGAACTTAATATAGATGAATAAGTCAAATACATAGTCTACTTTTAAAAACATAGTAAATTACATAAATATACTATTTGAAACTAAAAAAATTACATTTCTGAATTACTTCATTCAAAATTATTTCTTGGAATCAGCAGACTTAGGCATAGGCAAGAGCTGCCTGTGCATCTGATAGGCTGATATAAAAAATATTTGGTTAATAACCCAAATCATCACGGAATTATCTGAAAATTATATAACTTAAACTGTGGAAAAAAGTATTAGTATAGGGAAATCGATAAATATACAGGTATTACATGAATTACAATAAAGCCTAAAAGACAGCAACACTTTTATAACTTGAGAAGATAAGAAGAACGCCGGGATGAAAATAAATATATAGGAATATATATTTATATATATGAAACAACCAAAAGAATATCCCGATTTTATGAAGCATTTGTATTAAGTTTGTATGGTATAATTAAACGTATTGCCACTATTGTACGATATTAGTCCTTATGTTAGGATAAATTACGTAAAAAAAAAAAAAAACTTCTCGAGATTAAGGCCTACAATTTACTATGTGTGTGTTTTTCCAAATCCCTTAACTACTAGTATGTGTGTGTTTGATACGTAATTATAAAAGTTTACAACACTAGCACATCATAATAGGTCTTCGTTACTGCATTATGTTTCAACAACAATATTTCTCTAACAAAATAAGGGCGTTCTTCGTTTGGTGGGAGACATTCGGTACCTTAAAAACACCCCAAAACGTGTCCTTAAAGCGTTTGAATTTATATTGATTGTTACAATGATTCTTATAATAGTGGGATAAGTGTAAGAAATGATTATTCGGCAATAAATTTCCCTTTTAAAATAATTATAGGAAAATTAGGTAACATTAAACAAATCATCGTGCGTTCAGTTATTTACATAGGCTATGCATTGATATATAATATTTGTCCATTTTCCTATTTCTTTTGGTGTATTTAACTAAATCATACGGAAGCATATTGAACAATTAAAAACCCATTGTTTTCCAGGGGTATTGTTATATTCATGGTGTTTCTACCAAGCATTTTATGTACGCTGACACTTACAAAAATAATTACAAATTTGTCTTCAATGGTTAAACTATACAATTTAATATAAATACATCTAATATCTAAAGTTATTATACAAATAAAATAGCAAATGTATTAGGAATATATACGTTCTTTTTTAGGCACACTTTTATAACGTTGATCAATATTTATTTTGAAGAAATGTGAGAAATTTATCAGCAAAGAATATTGAAAAGGCCACTAATACTAACTTATTAACACGACAATAAACTAAAATTAGTTTTAGCTATGAAATATTCAAACTGTGAATGAACGAAAATTACCCTTGTCGAATAGTTTTAAGTAAATATTCTACAATTTTACACACTGAGTGGACTTGTTTTGCAGATGTTGACAGAGAAAAATGTGTTGTTAAATTATTTGCAAACCAAGGGAAAGACGAAATGTATAGGATTCATTGGAGAATGACTTTACTCATTTCAAATCTTTACAGAATAGATCAAAACAAAAACAAAAATATAAAGCTTTTAAACTCAAAAAGTAACTTTCTTTGCTAATGCAAAATAAGAATTTATAATAACTATACGTTTTGTAGAATGGCCAGTTGTTGAGTAGGGTAATCAGCAATTATTTAGTTTCAATAGTGATTGCTATTGACTACTATTGACTAGTAACTACTGTGTAGGATACAGGGTGTCACAAAAGTCCGTAGCGGACTATGCTGAACCGGATTCTACATACAAAAATTAGAATAAAATTAAGAATAACATTTTCCCCTAAACAGCTTTGTTGACCAGATATCGGCCATTTTGTATTTTTAACATAAATATTTTTATCTATGATTTTTTTTCAACAGATCTTTATTAAAATGTGTATGTAGGTGAAGGTAGAATAGACCCATGTGAGAAAAAATATCTTGATCCATTACAAAATCTCAAAATGGCGGCAATTTTAATTTTGTTGATTCAAATTACTAAAGAATGGCTGATTTGATGAAAAATTGAAATTATCGCCATTTTGAAATTTTGTATTGGATCAAGATATTTTTTTCTCGTATGGGTCTACTCCACCTTAACAAAGTTTCATAAAGTTATGTTGGAAATATGCAAAGATAAAAATGTTTATGTTAAAAATACAAAATGGCTGATATCTTGTATTTGTATCTTGTATATGTGTAATTTGTATAATATAAATATATAAATATATCTGGGTAACGAAGCAATTTTGAGAAAAATGTTATTCTTGATTTTCATATGTAGAATCCGGGTCTGCATAGTCTGCTAAGGATTTTTGGGACACCCTGTATAGTTGGGATTTAAAAAATTAATCTAACGTTGTTCACTAATTATTGATATAATTCTTTGCAACACACTGTGCAGTAGCACATTTTTACTGTGTTTAAATGGGAAGAGATATATGATCGGTTTGAAGGGGAGCAGTATTCTCCAACTGTAAATTACGTAGTCAATGAGCGCTGTTCTCCTGATTTTCTTGGAGAATTTATCAATAATTTGAAAAATGGTGAGTACCTCAATGTCTTATCAATGGAATTATAACTATAAAGAAAAATATTTCTGACCATTTATGATACAACTTTTGTTTATAATGTAAATGTTTGGACACAACCACATGACCATGTTTAATTGACTTACCTTTGTACTTTGTTTATGTAATCAGTTTTAAATATACGCTGCTGACTATGAAAACTATACAGTTAAAATTTGAATAATATAAATATTTGGCCTACTGTTTTTGCAGGATCTAGGGGGCAGGACTTGACTTACATATACGATTATCATTGACTTCCCAGGTAATGTAAAAATTTGGGGCCAAGAAAATAGAAGTTTGAAAATAGAAGTTTGTTTGATGTATGGAAAAAAATAAAGATAAAAAAACAAAAACAGTTCAGGACAATCCCACCAGAGGGAACTAGTGTATTGGGTTTTGGTTAAATATTGAATGTAGTATCATTCATAGTTAACAGCTGATTGATTCACTTGACACAGAATATTGTCATTAGTTGGTAGACCATCTCAACAGATTGCACCACGTTTTTTGGCTTCAAATTATTTAATTGCATGGGAAGTCTATTCTGCTTATAGTCTACCTCTACCACATACCAACGCTGTACAAACATACAAGCTATCTTTATACCAAGCCGTACAAATTCTAAACTTTGGCCTTTGCCTCGCTTGGTTTCCGCTTGCAGTTGTACCAATAGCTGGCATGTTGTTGCTGTACCAGCTGATATCATTGTTGAGTAACTATCAAGTCCATTGCCAAATTATTAGTCAATTCAATGCCGTAAGAGAATACCAATGATAAGGGACCTCTTCCTAGTGATAGCAGGCGTTTCAAACTCCAAATGGATTGTTGTAGTTTACATTAACTTTAATTGGGTACAAATAGCCTAGTTTATTTTCTAGAAAGAAATATTACACCATTGTTAGAAATTTTTTTATAAATTAATTTTCCAATATATTTCTATTAATCATTGAGAAATATAAATAGGAAAAACTTTGTAAGTAGTATGGCCAAATTGAAAATAAGTTCAAAATATCTGCATTATCAGGTACATTGTAGGATATCTATTGTACTTTGTTTTATCGAAATAATAATGCATAGTAACAAAATTACACATAATTTCTGATAGTATCTATGAATAACGATGGTTGGTCAATTATACATCATGTTTCCATGTACATTTAACAGATTACTGTATTGTAGTTTTGTATTATAGTTTGTTCAAATAATGGTGCAATATGACGAAAAATATAATCACACGGGCAAAAAGTGTCTTTTCAACCCTCGCTTATTTTCCGACCTCGGCTTCGCCTCGATAGTACAACTTATTCTTGGGTCGAAAAGAGTCACTTTAGACCTTAGTGATGTGCTTCTCTACAATATTTAGTAACAAAGGTAACAAGTTAGATCTCTACAAGGTTGAATTTCTGTTGCTTGGCGTTGAGCCCGAACGGCTGACTCTACTTAACCTGTCGTCTTGTCTAACAATAGACAACAATCCCTCTGACACCTCTCATATGGGAGTTTAGAAACTATTTACTATTTTCCAACACTAAAATATACAGTGTGTTATAAAAGTCCCGGAACGGCTTAATTTTTTTGTAACCAACATAGATACGGTGGTCGGTGGTACAGTTTTGTATCTAGATATTTATCATAAAACCTACCTTTTTAAGCAATTATCATTTTTATATCCCATAAGGGGGGCGGCCAACAAGGAGTCAGACCAATACTTAAATAGCAGCATAGGTCGATTTTAGAATCAAATTAAATGTCTTAGTTACCAACATATTACCAAAAACCCGATCTCAAACGGACAACCAAGTCAAATATTACAGCTGTTCAAAGATTCATCGAATTTGCAATGCTATAATGACTACTCCTCAGGGAGCGCCCTCTAGAATTCGGAAGAAAATCATAAACTTATGCATACGTCGATATGAATATCAATTTTTTGTTCTTTATTAGAAGAGTACACTGCCAAAAATTTTCTCCCAAAAGAACGACTGAGTAAAAAAAGGGCAGCCATTCAAAGATTCAAAATTGCAGATTTAAGAAATATTCAAACTGATGCC